GTTAAATTTGCATTTAGTATTGTTATGTACTAAATTGATTCTCTTGGATTTATTTTTATTTTCCGAAATTTTTAAATGATTAGAAATTTTAACCTAACTAAAAGTTAATCAATCGCAATTTCAATTTAACATTATAAATTCAGATAAATAATTCAAAAGATTTTACGAACGAAACTCTAATAAAAATTTCGAAACACCATGTACAATTTTGATGATTCTGTATAAATGTATTCATTCGGATTTTTGTAAAAATTCTTGATGGAAATAAAAAAAGGAAAAATCTTCTATTTTTTAAATTCTGATTTGTATTATTTTTATGACAAGCTGCGATTACTGTGCAAAATTGACTAGAACAACAAAACTCCAAAGAACTGCTTGTGTTTGAAAGAAGTTAAAATTGTTAATTTCTTTTTTATGAATTTTGAAACAAGCTGCGTTTACTGTGCAAAATGTAAAAAGAACATTTAAACTCCAAAGCAGGCATGGAAAATCATTTGTATTCATTTCATACATTCATTTACATTCATTTGGCTCTAACTTTTTTCATCAACAGCATTCCTCAAAATGATGAATAGAGCTTTTGTAGGTTTTGTTATTAGCTACAACTTTTGTTGATAACTTAAATCTGAATCTCTTATGCATCACGAACTAAAGCGGTCAGAACTTGTTACTGTTTTTCAGTGAATGTAAAATACATTCACTGAAAAACAGTAGTGGCTTCTGTTCACTCTGGTTCGTCATGCATAAGAGATACGGATTTGAGTTATGAGCAAAACTTGTAGCTTATAACAAAACCTACAAAAGCTTTGTACATTATTTTGCAGAATGCTGTTGATGAAAAAAGTTAGAGGCAAATGAATGTAAATGAATGTATAAAATGAATGCAAATGATTTGCCATGTCTGCTCCAAAGTACTGCTGCATTTACTGTGCAAAAAGAATAAGATCATCAAATCTCCAAAGAAATGCTCATGTTAAAAAGGGTGGCTGAAAAAATACCAACATCATTACGGAAAGATTATCTTTAATAGAATAATGAATCCATTGACAATAAAGAAAATCAGTTTTATACAAGATAAAATTTAACAAAAAATGCCATATTTATAACATCAAAAATCAGAATTGTGGAAGGTAAAAAAAGTCCACAGGGCTGCCATTTAGGAACCTAGTAGTGTTCAAAGATTAGAACTCTCTTTTCAAGTGTCCGGTCAAATGGCTGGACACCTTTCCAACCACATCGTATTCGGCTGAATCAATACAACCAATATAAGGTTGATATAGTGCTTCCATGTTTTATATCAGTTGGATACCAACTTAATATAGGCTTTTTTAATGCACCGCCAATGTAGAGGGCACTAGGTGAGCTCGAGAGGAAATGTCAACCAAACCGTTTGTGTTTACATCAGAATAAGGATTTATTCACAACGTAAAGTAAAGCATTTTTCATTTAACATTTTGCCAATTTCCATCGGTAATTAGGTCGTATGAATAAAAGCGTTTACTTTACTTTACCCGTAAGAAAAGCACGGGAAAGTAAAGTAAACTCTTTTTATACATACGGCCCATTGTCTTATTTTACGATTTTCCACAGATCTGAACTGATTTGTAGGTCAATTATTCACACCCAAGAAATCCGGAAGATCAGAACCACTAAGGCACTTTTCTAATTTTCCATTTTTCCCAACAAAAATATTCCTGAACATCTCCAGGATCTTTGCAAAAACGATACAGAATTAAATTTTTCAACTGTAGATTAAGTTTTGGAGCATCTCAGATGAATCAATTTATCAGGAAAAGTGAAAAAGTGTTCCGCTTCCTATGCCTCACGGCAAAAATTTCTGCTCACAACACTCTTTTTGACGTTCTCCTATTCACCACCAGAGGTTGAATCACCAATGTAGAGGCGCTAGATGATTATGAGAGGAAACGTCAACCAAACCGTTTGTTTACATCAAAATTACATTTTTTTACATCTCAAACTAATGCATATTTTTATGCACATCTTGCATATTTCCATCGGGAGGGGTCTTATTTTATTATTTTTTTTTTACATATTTGAACAGATGTACAGTTCAAATAACACCACATTAAAAATCTGGAAGATCATAACCGCTGGGGCAGTTTTATAAATCTTCACTTTGGTTTCACATGGTTTCAAGCACCTGCGATGGATAAAGTAATCAGAAAAGGTAAAAATATGTTCCTCTTCCTATGCTTCATTGCAAAAATTTCAGCCCATCACTCTTTTGATGGTTCCCCTATTCACCACCAGAGGCTGAAACGATCGCTTAGTTTCTACTGGATTCGCCTATTGCAAAAAGAACCCTTATCGGGCTTGTTGGTTACTTGGGTAAGCAGGCATACGTCTTTTAATAGAAACTAAATGATCGATTCAACCTCTGGTGGTAAATAGGAGAATATCGTGAGAGTGTTGTGAGCAGAAATTTTTGTCGTGAGACATAGACAGCGGTACACTTTTTTACTTTTCCTGATAAATTGACTCATCTGGGATGCTCCAAAACTTGATTTACAGTTGAAAAATTTAATTCTGTATCGATTTTGCAAGGATCCTGCTAGCATAAACGAAGTGACAGACGACTAACTGACGAAGGAACCAGTTAAAATAATGTGGTTCGTTGTAATAGAATTTTCTTAGAAACTTGTGCAGTCATCCACCAGATGGGCTAGTATTTTTGTTGTGATTTGAACAAAGTTGATTTTGTGTGCAATGATCTTTGACGGTGTGCAAAGAGTGTATCATTTTGTCATTTTTTTATGCATTTCAGTTTTGAGTAGAGTGAAAGAGATAGAACCACAACATTCGAGTACATTTGGTGAAAATGCTAGTACAATCCAGTAGTAGCAACAATCAATACGAAACTAACGATTTTAAATTGGCTCACCACTTTAGTAGCCTATTGGTCCAAAGCAAACGATTAACGTACCCTATTCTAGTCGAAATTCTAGTACTACGCAATGTTTGTTTTGATTCGCTATGAAATTTTGACAGATAAAATGAGGGGTTATTGGTTTTTCCTATGTTTCGAGGGGTGATTCGACAAGCTTGGGACCGAAGATAGTACCAGAGGTGAGCCAAAAAGTTGAGCACGTTTCTTCGGGACCTACTTGTCTTAGAGTTACCTCTATGGTAGTAGTGTTGCCATGTTCAATTCGAAACTAACGGTTTTAAATTGGCTCACTACTTGACTAACCTATTGGTCCCAAGCAAATCGACTAACGTACCCCCTTCTAGTATAAATTCCAGTACTACACTATGTTTGTTTTGATTCGCTATGAAAGTTTGACAGATAAAATGAGGGGTTAGTGAATTTTCCTATGTTTCGAGGGGTGAATCGATTAGCTTGGGACCGAAGATAGTACCAGAGCTGAGCCAGAAAGTTGAGCTCGTTTCTTCGGGACCTTCTGGTCTTAGAGTTACCTCTATGGTACAATCAACCGGTGGAAACTAACGATTTTAAATTGGCTCACTACTTGACTAGCCTATTGATCCCGAGCATATCGATTAACGCACCCCATTCACCCCATTCTAGTCGAAATTCTAGTACCACACTATGTTTGTTTTGATTCGTTATGATAGTTTGACAGATAAAATGAGGGGTTCGTAGATTTTGCTATGTTTCGAGGGGTGAATCGATTAGCTTGGGACCGAAGAGAGTACTAGAACTGAGCCAGTTGGTAGTAGTGTTGCCATGTGGTACACTGAAAAATTGCAATAGCAGGTTCATCCTCAAAGTTTTCGAGCCGCTCCGTCTGTCACTTCGTTTGTGCTGCTAGTGTCCAAGAATATTTTTGTTGAGAAAAATGGAAAATTATAAAAGTGCCTCAGCGGTGCCGGTAGTGTATTGGTAAGCGTGATTACCTCTCACCCCAGCAGGCCTGGGTTCAATCCCAGTCGGCGCCGCCGGGATGTTCTGAGGCATAACATCTCTGATCACGCCTTCCTTCGGGGGGAAGTAAAGCCGTTGGTCCCCGGTTCATGAATTGATGGGTCGATAGGTAGGGTCCAGGTGTGGGAGCAGCCTCCCTGGCGTCGGTAGCATTGGTGCTCAGCACGGAAAACAAGATCGACGGAAAACAAACCAAAAAAAAAAAAAAAAGTGCCTTAGTGGTTATGATCTTCTGGATTTCTTGTGTGTGAATAGTTGAGGTGAAAATCAATTCAGATCTGTGAAAAATCGTAAAATATGGCAATTACTGATGGAAATTTTCAAGATGTTGAATGACAATTTATTTAATTTGCGTTGTGAAATTCCTCATTCTGATGTTAACAAATGGTTTGGCAGACGTTTCCCCTCAAATTCGCTTGGCGCACTCTACATTGGTGGTGCATTAAAAAGGCCTATTGGATAATAGATATTTCAAGCAAGACAGTCGTAATTTCATGTATAGCACATAATAGCAAATAATAGGGTAAGCGTACCAGCTATGGCACTAGTGCTAGGGTGTAACTCAAATTTGAAATAAATTTTCTTGCTCTAATTTGTGTAGATTTTTTTCTTTCCTTTATTTAACGTCGGTCTCTGTTCCGCAATCTAGTGCCAATAACCGACGGACATCGATTGCCATCCATTGGCGATAATCGAATGTGCAGGAAGGCAGCTTCCACACCTGCGTATCGCACCCATTCAACCATACATGGGCCGGGATCAACGGCTTTACTTCCCTTCCGAAGGAAGATGTAACTAGAGATTTTCAGGCCTCAGAAAAATCCCACCGACTTCGGCTGATATTGAACCCAGACCTATTGGGGTGAGAAAGCAGTCACGCTTACCACAACACCACTGGTGCCGGCTGCGTAGATTAATGGCATAATAAAAAAAAACTTGCATCGAATTTTTTTTGGAAAATAATCAATAAAATTAACTTTAAAATAGGGCCACTAAGAGGGCCACTACGGCCATAGACTGGCATACTTACCCTATGTTAAACTAGTAAGTTACTAGTTTAACATAGGGTAAGTAGTAGTAGTAACCCCTTCTAAAATTTATTTATGCTGATGACTGAACCTCTTTCAGAAACCCTCTATCCCACATGAACGGCATCAGCTTTTCAATCATTTTCACAAACCGTCCATTTGTGTACAGTTTTCTCCTAAATTCAATTCCTTCCGGTTCCATGGAGCCCAAAATTTCCATATCCAGGTCCAATTCTGGCATAGCCAACATCATCGCCAGTCCCTCCATCGACAGAACGCAAACCATGAAGCCATGAGCCGTGATGTCTTCATAGAGCTGTTGGCGCGTTGGTGTGGGTGTTTGGGCTCCTAGTTGTTGCAATCCTGCTGCCAGATGACTGTAGTAGTGATCGATCAGGTCATTAAACTTCTCGGTACGCACACTAAGCGCTGAATTGATTATAAAGTACAGAAGATCGTACGAAGGCGATCCATAGAAGGATATCTGATAGTCAAGCTGAAATTATGTTAGTAAAATAGTTAAACAAAAAGAGTATTTGTCGCTAAATTTGGGATGTTACCAAAAGTAGATCAAGTTCATTGAACTGGATGTTATTGATCCAAGTGTCACCATGATTGAGGACATTAAACTTTGACGAATCCAATCTGAATAGTTTGCTGATCGTTGAATAGACTTTCCCTTTGAACGAATTCTGTTTGAAATAAAAGTAAATAATTAGTTTTTATTCATCATTGCAGTTAAGTGATAACGACTCACGAGTGCTTCAATGATTTGAGCTGGATACCTAAGCTCTTCCAAAGTCTGCAGGTATGAGTCAAACAATGGGGCATAATACTGCTCGAGCATTGTTATCAGTCTATCAGAAAACATTCCATCCTTAAAGTCTTCTGGGTAAGGGCCGTTCTTCAAAAATCGTATGATTAAAGTTCAATTCGTTGCAATTAGACAATTATGAATACTTGAACAAACCTCTTCATAGTACACCACGGAAGCAGCATGAAATTTGGCCATTTTTTCCAGAACTCTCTCGCAATCTTCCTGGCTAAGTCCTGCACTACATTCCTTCATTTTAAAGCCCGATAGTCGCAAGTCTTCCATCACAATTACCGTAAATGGGGACGATGTGACTTTGAACATTCTGAAATAATTCTCCATTAGCATCAGTATCAGCTATCAGTACAATTGCAAAATAAATCTTTTACTTTGGTCCAAATTTCACCTTGTCGGCCTTCCACAGTTCTTCCAATGACGGTAGAATTTTTAAATACATATGAATTTCCTTGGGAAATACTCTCATCAGTTCAACCATTTCACCGCCGAAAACCTTATCGGATTTCTCTTTCACGATGTAGTTCAGTTGTTTTCTTTGACCACCGTCAGCGCTTCCCACTTGCACTTGCAGTGTAACTCGATGCATTAACGACATATAACCGGTAATTTTCTCGGTGGCATTTGCAACTTTTACATCCAATATTGTGAAATCTTCGGAGGCAATTTGCAAATCGGCAACAACAACATCTTCGAAAAAGTTGACGTTCCTCCAGTCCGTCCCGTTTGGTGTTATTTCACTGCTGCCCATCGTATGGTCAGCGAGCGGTACGCGACACACGTGGTGAACTTTATTGCGCGTATGGTACGACTGAAGAGTAAACGACGCTCAATTTTGCAGTTTATTCAGCGACTAGGGGTGATTCAAATATGACACCCACAAGTTTTACGAGTATTAACCCCCCTCACGCTTTTCCCATAATGAAAAGAAATGAAATCACATTACCAACATTACCAATACATAGGAGATTGTCTCCTCTGTATGTTTCGGCTATGTAGAGACGTACTTAGGCTTCGTTCCATGTGGGGAATTTTCACTTAAATTTGACACTTTGAAAATAAATTATAATGTTCAAAAATCTCTCTGTTGTTGATCGTTCGATTTTCGAGAAGGTGTCTGTCAAAATTGGTTTCTTGTCTGTCAGAAATAAGTCTGCTGGAATTTGAAAATTTTCCATCTGCCAAATTTAAGTAAAAATTCACCAAATGGAACTCAGCCTTAAGATTTTTGTTTAGGTGGTGCGCTCTAAGTTTGGTGCTGCTCTCCCTGGCTCTTTATATTTTACGATGTTCTCATCACATTCCTAAGGGTATAACGTAAAAGAGAAAGAGATACCTATCACAACAAATTCTCACTATTATACACGCAGAGAAATGATTTTTAAATTCAAATGGATATATTTTTGGCTCAGGGCCTAATATATTTTTGGTATTGATTCAAATATATTATTCGGTTAATTCTAAGCAAAATATTTTGAATCAACAAACAGGTTGTAGAGTCAATAATCTGTTTGTTGATTCTAAAAAACCATTTTGTTGATTCAAAAATATGTTTTGTTGAAATAGTGATACACTATGTTTGAATCGCTGAACGCTCAGGTAGAACAGGAGGCAATGTATAGACCGGCAATTGGGCCAAACAGCCTGCATGCCGTATCGAACGACAACGCTCAGCGATGCGTGAGCTTTGCAGCCTCTCGGGGTATGGCAGTTCGAAGTACCTTTTTTCCCCGCAAGGATATCCACAAAACCACCTGGAGATCACCTGACCAACACACAGAAAACCAAATCGATCACGTTCTAATCGACGGGAAATTCTTCTGCGACATTATCAACGTCCGCACGTACCGCAGTGCGAACATAGATTCGGACCACTACCTAGTTGCAGTATGCATGCGCTCAAAACTCTCGACGGTGCATAACACACGTTGAAGTCGAACGCCGCGACCCAACATTGAGAAACTACGGGACGCCGGAGTTGCCCAGGACTACGTGCAGCAGCTGGAAGCGAAAGAGCAGCTTGGCGCAGCTTCTCTTGAAGATGGCTGGAGGGATATCCGTTCCGCCATAGGTAGTACTACTGCAGCGGCACTAGCTACTGCAATCCCGGACCGAAGAAATGACTGGTTTGACGGTAAATGCAAACTGTTAGTAGAGGAGAAGAATGCAGCACGGGCGAGAATGCTGCAACACCGCACGAGATTGAATGTGGAGCGATACAGACAAGCGCAGAACTGACAAAACTCGGTTTTCCGAAGGAAGAAGCGTCAGCAGGAAGACCAAGATCGCGAGGCGATGGACAATCTGTACCGCGTAAACGACACACAGAGGAGTAACTGGAACAAAAACCTGGCCAAAATTATATTCACTGGTTTTGAGCAATTTTCTGCTAATATATATTAAAATATTTAATAATAATAGGTTTTCAGACTTCTGTTAACTTTAACTTTTAAAATCCATCTACTTAGCAGTGCATATCTGGCCTTTCATCATCCATACGAATAAAAAAAGTAATGGGTTTTGAAAGCAGGATTTTTTTATTCTTCTGCTTACTATAAGGATTATATAACAAAAAAGAGTAAAGAAATTATCCAAGAATCATTGCCCTGAAAAAAAAAATAATTATAAATAACGAAAGTTTTAATAACATAACTTGCGATTTCTTACGTTCGATTAGTTAGAATCTTCGTCTTAGTCGCTGCGAACTTCGTCCTCTGCAGTATTTTGTCCACCTACGATGGCATCCACTTTGAGCATTTCCTGGGTTTCAATGCTGAACGGCTTGCTTTTTCTGATAGGATTCTTACGACTTGAACTCAAAAAGGGATCCGAACTTAGTAACAACCTATTCATAATGTCTCGGTTGCATGCTGTTCTCGAGAACTTTATTGAGAAGTGTTGTCGGCAGGCTATAAAGCACGCAATATTGACTAAACATTATGCATTTTCGAGGGAAACTTTACAAATTTTACCCATTTTTGATTAATTATGACTCAAAATAGAATAACTTTTACTCATTTTTGCAGTAATAATTACTCATTTATGAGTAAAATTTTACTCATTTATTGGGTAGTCCCACTTTCCCTCGAAAATGCGTACTTTGTATTCAATATTTAGTAGTTTGCGGTTGCCGTGCACAGATTTTGCTTTATTTGTAGTAATAATTACTCATTTATGAGTAAAATTTTACTCATTTATTGGGTAGTCCTACTTTCCCTCGAAAATGCGTACATTGTATTCAATATTGAGTAGTTTTCGATTATCGTACACAGATTCTGCTTTATTTTAATTCGTTATCGCCAGCTGTGACGCTCTGCTAGTTTACCTTGAACGAACCTACACACAAATTTTAATCGCTGAAAATAAGCAAAATTTTGCTGATTTTAGACTTGATGAAAGATCAGCAAACGTTTCAGCAAAATAATGCAGCTGAATTTTTCAGTAATTCCAACTTCTGTCAAAATGACAACATTTTACTGAAAATCAGCAATATTTCTTTACTGATCTTTCAGCAATTCAAAATTCTGACATTAAATTTTAACTATTAAATTCAGTAAATTGAATTTGTTTTCACTATATGGGCTTCCAGCTTCTGTAAAATACAAATATACGAATAATAAAGATAAAATCGCCAGACTCTTTTCCAAGTATCATTTGTTAAATATAACCGAACCAGTGCCCATACCTACATAATTTTATTTATTTGTAGTTTTTTTTACCTCTTCCTCTTCCTGCGGTTTGAACGGTGGTGTACAAATGCAAAAATACTTGCGACTGTGATGCTAACAGTTTGACAGCTCTTTGACTAGCTGTTAGTTTATGTTAGCTGATTTTATCGGTGAAAATATCGTTTGCTGTTTTTCAGTAAAGCATTGGATTGCTGATCATGATCCAGTAATTCGTTTTACTGATAATAAAAACTTAAATTTGGTGTGTATGTGTATGTAAAATAGAATGGGTAAATGTGTGTGCGTGTATGAGAGAGTATTACAACCAACTGGCACTCGTAAATTTTCAAAATTTACAGTATCTACCTGAAAAGTGAAATACTTTATGGGGTAAACGGTCATTGAATTACAAGGCAAAGAAACCTTACTCTTGCTTTGCTACACACACAAATTATAAAAATAAACTAATGACACATGGTTTTTCTAGCGTTACACTCCTTTAGGCTAGTACATCAATTTAGGTACTAGATTTAAAAACTTAGCAACATTAGTAAAATGATGCTGGCCATGGGTATCAAACCGGGAGTAGTTTACTGAAGTGTAATTTTAATCTAGTACCACAATTGATGTAATAGATTAAAGAAGGACAGAATTAGTACTCGGTAAGTTTGTCATAGGTATCTGCAGAAAACCGTTGTGTTACGGAAGTTTTCTGGAAGTATGACCTTATAAAGGGATAAAATGTTGCCACGAAATGATGCAAAACATGCCATTTTCAAATGGCTCGCAATCGCCAATCCGGATGACTCCGGACGAGATTCCAATGCCAATGTGTTCATAATAACGTGAACTTTCATTCGTCCATAGATTATATGATCTGATCGCGCAAGATTCTACAACTTTTTCAAGTCTGAAACAGCACATAAAACATAAAAAATACATTTTTTTCATATTGTTGAAAAAAATATGACATTATTTAAATTTAAAGGTTTTTATCTCATAACTTGTTAGAAAACAGTCCAAAGTACCCATTTTATTATAACACTTGTCTCTTGATCAAATTGTTTATATCTGGTAGGCGTAATTATTACATAGCTACTTTTTGGAAAACAAGAAGCTTCGAATTTCTTCAGTTTTTGAACACGTCTCAAAATTTGTAAACAAAATGTATCGTTTTTATTCCGTTGCCACTTTATGCTGCATATACCTATTGTAATATATAAAAAATATAGAAGCATGAAAAATCAAGAAAATTTTGGTTTCTTATTTTGGCCAGGTTTTTGTTCAAGTTACTCCTCTGTGCGACACATGGAAGTTCTACTAAATAGTTTGCGCAAAGGCTACAAGCCGATATGTGCAAGGACTTGGACGGTAGCCTTGTCACGAACGAGTGTGAGGGGATTGAGAGGTGGAAGGAGTACTATGACGAGCACCTCAACGGTGAAGCGGCAGAAAACGAAGGTGGCACGGCAACAGACCTAGGAGCACGCGCAGAAGACAGGCTACCGGCCCCTGATCTTCAAGAAGCTGAGGAGGAGATCGGTCGGCTGAAGAACAACAAAGCAACTGATGTAGATCAACTACCAAGTGCTTCCCTTCGGGCTCGAGGTAGACAACCTAACGTTCCAGTTCGGGATATTATGGCTAGACGCGATTTGGAGTTTATGAAGCTCATATATGTTTACTTTAAGAATATTAACATTAGATTGTAAGTTTGATTAACCTTGTATTTAGTTTGTATTTAGTACGTGTGGGTTCTTTTTTATGTTTGTTTTCAAGATGAATAGAAATTAGTTCATGTTTTAGGATTAATTAAATATTTGTATCGTAAACCACATCTCAAACCTCCCTCTCCCTTTTCCCATCCAAAAAAAATTGTAAATCTCCACTAACCTCGAGACAACCGCGAGTATCCGGTCCAGCTCCTTTAACTTTAAAAATAAGACATCAATAATGTTTAACGAAAATGATAACTCGGCTCTGTAAAGTTTATTCGATTGAGCCTGTACAAATAAAGTAATTAA